TCCTCCCCAATTCAAGTAATCATCTCAAGCTTCTTCGGTGGAAATCGATATTTGGAGCATTTATCGTGTTTTTATCGATTTCGCTATGATTTGACCTCAAGCTTGGAATTCTTTGGTTTTCTTTGCTTATTCTCATCACATATTAATAGAAACAATCACCAAGGCAATCCTCCACCTTGTAGGTTGGTAATTCGCACTTGATTTACTGTTTTGATCACTTTTGCACGTTTACGATGTAGTTCGATCATTCTTTGGTGTTGATTGATCATGTGATTATTTGATCTTTGATCTTCATGTTTAATGATTTCAATTGATGTTTAATTGATGCCTAAGTGATTTTGAAATTCATTTTTCATGCTCAAATGTTAATCATAGCATGTGGATGATTGGATAAGTGTTTTGGTTGCGAAAGTGCTTTTTCAAAAGTTGTTTGTTGCCACTGTTACAGTAGTAATCGGTTACCTATATGTGGTAATCAATTACCCTGTACAATTTTCACGTTTTTATGCAATTTTTGAGCAGGCAATCGATTATCTGCAGGTGGTAATCGATTACCACTGTAACAGAATGCCTTTTTTGCCTATTTTCAAGCTTGTTTGCTATTTCTTTCCTCATGTGACTTCCATGGCTTGATATGCTTGATATTTGTGGATGTTTTTTGAGTTGTTTAACTTTTGTTTGAGGCATACATGCAAATTTTCAATGTGCGATTTGTCGATTCTCGATTATTTGTATTTTTGACATTGTATGATCATGATCATTCTTGCACATTCTTTGATCACATGCTACATGATTTGTGATATATACTAAATGTTTTTGGTACTGTTTTACGCTTCCATTCATGTTTGCATTAAGATTGTTCCTCATTAGAATGAACTTAATCTTGTATAATCAATAATTTATCCTTTGCTTCAATAATTTTTCATCCTTTGGAAAATTGTTAGCATCATCCTCTTTTGATTGATTAATCGAAACTTCATTTTGATTAGTCAATCCTTCCCTTTTTCTTCTCGTTTAGATCTTGTAGAGCTTTGTCCTCTCTTTTCCCCCGTGGAGTTGAAGATTCGCAACATCTTGGAGCACTGTACAAATTTTGCGTTGTTGTGTTGTTCGTTCGCATCTTGCATCGCACTTTGGTGTTAGAGAAGGAATTAGAGTGGAGAATTCTTACACTCATTCTGACTATTTTGGGTAGGGGACGAATGACCTTGTGCCTGGAATAGTCGCCTCTATCTTCTTACTGTGGTATACCTGTTTCTCCAGTCGAGTCGATCATTGATCACTTGCACCCTTATCTCCTCTTTGGAAGTGAATCTCACCTTTCAATTCAACACTCTTTTCTCTTGAGGGCAATCCATTCTCGGTTCTCCAAGAGTCTTGTAGTCAGTTCTTTCCTTGGTTGATCAACCATTCTTCGGTTAAAACCAAATTCTCTTCTTCCTCAAGGAAATCAATCTTTCTTCTCTAGTTTACACAGTCTTCCTGTTCAAACCTAATCCTCATCGGAGTTCTCAAACTTCTCTTGGTTTTCTCTCCTTCTTGTTTAGTTAATCACTACCTGTTAGTTAAACACCAGTCATCTTTTCCTCATTTAATCACAACCCGTCTGTTAATACTGAGCTTTCTTTGGGTTAATCGCCTTCTTTCGGCTAATCACCCGATCTTTGGTTGATCACAGTCTGCCCGTTAAAACCAGCTTTTCTTTGGGTCAATCACCTTCTCTTGGTTAATCACCCACCTTTTGGCCAATCACAGTCTGTCTGTTTGAACCAATCACCCTTTTTCTCAGTTAACCATAGTTCGTCCATTAAGATAATGAGTCTCTTTTAAGTTAATCACCTTCTTTTGGTTAATCACTCCTTCTTTTCGATTAATCACAGTCCTTCCGTTAAATACCGGACTTCATGCCGTTAACAACCTTTCTTTGGTTCAGATACTGCCAGCTTTGGGTTAGTAATCTTTATTCGATTCGAATACCATTTCCTTCGGTCAAGTGTTGTTGGTTCAGTCAATGCACCCGTCCTTTAGGTTACGACCTTTGCTTGGTTCTACACCCCTTTCTTTTGGTTGATCACCGTCTACCGGTTAAAACCAGCTCTCTTCTCTTTTCGATTAACCATTGTTTATTGGTTAATATATCAAATTCTCCTCAGATTCAAACACCTCCCTTTGGTTCAGTACTCTCTTTCTCTTGGTTTGTTGCAGTCCATCTGTTGACGCCAACCTTTTTTGCTCTCCCCAAAAAGTTTTACTCTTATCTTTCTTTGGTTAATCACTGCTCACCAGTTAATGCACTGAATTCCCCGTGGATCTTACCTTTATTTTGATTCTTGTCCTTTACTCATTTTTTCTCTTGGCTCCATCACCATTCTTTTGTTTTCTCCCCAGTGGAGTCATCTTTTTTCTTCTGCATTCCCCGACAGAGTTCTTGCCTCACTTCTCCGTTCCTCAACAGAGTTTTCTTTCGTCTTCTTTCTCGATTTTGACATCATTTTTCTTGCATTCCTCAGTTGGGTCTTGCTTTCTCTTTTAGCTATTGGCTTTGATGCCATTCCTTTTTCTTTTCTTCCTTTAGCGTTGGTTCCCCGAACTACGTAGACTCTGACTTCTTCATTGCATTATGAGGGTACGTAGGCACAAGATTGTGAAATCTTGGCGATCCACCTTCCTCCGTCTTCTTCTTCTATCTCTCTGGTCCGCCTAGATCCTCTTCTTTTTTCTTGGTTCCTTAAACTACGAAGCTCTAACTTTCTCATTGCACTATGAGGGTACATAGGCACGAGGGCCCCAATCCTCCGCGAGCACTTTCTTTATTTTTCTTTCTTTTTCTCTCTTTTCTTTCCTTTTTAGCTAGAAGCCTTTAGATAGATAACCCATCCAAGCCTAGAAGCAAGCAAAATGGTTCCCCTCGGGTACGACGGATGCTTAAGGTGCTAGTACCTTCCTTTCGCATAACCGACCCCCTTTCCCGTTTCTCTTCCCTTGGATTTTATCGATATTTTCCCTGTCCTTTGGGACTAAATAAAGTTCGGTGGCGACTCTGTTGTATCTTTGAGTGTGCGATTCACTCAGGTATAATCTTGCTAGCTTCAGAGGTTTATATTGAGAAGATTTTTATTCTACATGGTATTCCTTCGAGTATTGCTTCAAATAGAGATATGAGGTTCACTTCGATATTCTGGGAGAGTTTGCAGAAAGTTTTGAGAACCAAATTGTGGCTGAGTTCTGCATATCATTCACAGACAGACTGTCAGACAGAGAGGATCATCCATTCTTTGGAGAATTTGCTGAGAGCTTGCGTGTTAGAGGAAGAAAGTATTTGGGATACTTACTTTTCGTTGATTGAGTTTACCTACAACAACAGTTTCCATTCTAGTATTGGAATGACATCATTTGAGGCTTCGTATGGCAGAAGGTGTAGGACACCTTTATGTTGGTATAATTCTGGCGAGAGTGCAGTGTTTAGATTAGAAATTGTTCAACATACTACTGAGAAGATAAAGATGATCCAGAAGAAAATAAAAGTTTCACAATGTCGACAGAAAAGTTATCATGATAAAAGAAAAAAGTACTTGAATTCGAGAAAAATTATTATGATAAGAGAATGAAAGCATGGATCGAATAGATTAAAATTGTGAGATCAAACATATTTATCAAAAAGGCTAATTATTGTGCATATTATTTTACAAATAGTTACAATGGTTTGATAGTTTTAACTCCTTGTTCTTCTTTAATATTGTTGTTGTCATTGTCAAAGAACCTCTTTTCTTCATGTAGTTCTTTAATTTTGTTTTTTAATTTTCTTTTAAAAATTATTTGTAAAACAAAAATATATCAAATCATCATAATAATGGGTCAAACATCTGCCAAATAAACTTTTTATAGCTTTTAAAAATTAAAACTATTTTAAAAAACTAAGTTAATTTTTCAAAAGAATTAGAACAAAATGGTCAAGGATTGTTTTGCTTTATATCTATCCCCCTCTTCAGATGATTTTTAGATTGATTGACCATAATGGAGTCGAGCAGAATAAAATATAACTGAGTGGAATTGAGCAGAGCGATATGAGACATAACTTAATAGAGTGGAACAGAGCGAAATAAAATACAAGTTTTACTATATTGTTTGGTTAATTTATTAAAAATGTTTGTTCCGTTGCATACACGTCAAATCAAATGAAACAAAAATTGGATAATTGAATGGAACGAAATCAAATAGATGTCATCATATTTCATTTCACTCAATTCATTATTTGTAAATCCAAAAAAAAATCTCATCAGTTACCACTTTATTTCATTTCCTACCAATCCAAACATACCCTCACATTTCCTATCAATCCAAACATACCCTCAAAATGTGGCGAAAGAAACCGGGCTATAAAATCTTAAAAACATGTGAAATCGGACAATTCATACGATTGCATTTGAAATCTATACCTACAAATCATAAAATCATACGCTTTTTACATGATAAACCCAGGTTTTAACAACTATGACTCTGTAATTTCACATGAGAGAACATAGAGTGAAATATCCTATCATCCAAGAGAGAAATAATTTGAATGATGGGAGATTCAACTTTTGAGTGAAAATGACATGAGATGCTTTCTTCAAATACAGCATAAAATATATATCCTTGATAGGATGGTTCCATTAGGCTAAACTCTAGAAGTTCCATCCCATACTAAAGACTCGTCTGAAACTTGAAAAGTGCCTCACATGTAAGGCAATATTATCAAACTTCCACTTTCTAACAATTCTATAATTTCAACATGGATTGTAACGTTTAAGTATATCAAGATTAAGCTGAGAGAAAATATTTATATGACCATATGATCTGTACAGATACATCTAATGAAAACTGTGACCCCCTTTGTTCCCATCATGCCACAATACATCAATCTCAAAATGATTATTACCTTGCCCAGCAAATCAACAAAACAGAAACAAAGGGGAGCATTCATATTGAACAAGCCAAAAAAATCCATTAAATAATAACAATTATGAACCTCCAATGCTATCCACCCTATCAATGACATCCAAGGCCTTTATTCGGTCAATATCAAAGTCGATGAAAGGAACAGAAGGTAGCCGCCGTCTTGTGCAGAATATATCGTTTTTGCTTTCACTGATTGGGGAATGATTACTACTCTTGCTTAGCCTATGGTGTTTGCTCAACCTAGTCTTGGCAGTTTCAAATTCCTGACTTTTACTGATTCCGGGCGTAAGTTTCCTCTTGCCAACATCTCGAAGCATTTGTTGATCTTCGATTGTTAACAAGGGAGAAGTAGAACAGCCTTTCTGTGTAAACAATTGCAATGTTTTCTGGTTAGGAGAACGAATCGGAGATTTGACAGGGGACCTTATTCCACCGTTACCAACTCTTACTTGGCTGACTAGGTGATGTAGCCAGACAACCAGTTCAAGTATATACAATTCTGTTATATCTTTATCGGCATGGTGTAGTGTTTCAATTCTCAATAAGTCTGACTGGCCCGCAGGTTTGACGTCGGACCTATAGAAACTTGACTTATAAAACGGTATGTGCAACATAAACATGGAAGAAAGAAAACGAAAATTATGTCCTCTTACCCTGTGTTTGCCCATTCTCCAACCCATCCAAAGCCATGATGAGCTCTGAAGTAATGCAATTGAAAAAAAGAGAATTAAAATTGAGAACAGAACATATCGAGATTAATGGTAATTAAAGAATAAAATGGAAGGCATGAAAGTCAACCATAATGAAAAGCAAATTTAAATAAATGTTTTCCGCATGCACCATATAAACAATACTGAGAATAATAGGAAATGGATGAGTCAGAGCTATCAAATATACTTGGTTGTGTTAGCCGCAATAGGAACAAGCCACTTCAATGTTTTCTCCATTTCATCTTTGATTTGTGGGACAGTAAGCTGCAAAAATGTTTCCATCATTTCAGATTTGGGTTTATAATTTGGTCATAATCAAAATAGGCAATGTAGCTCAAGCTCGGTATAAATACTTTGACAGAAACGAACTTCAATAAAATCGTTAAAAGATGTAATTAGAAAGTCATTAACGAGTATTGAATGAATAAGGAATAAAACTTTGTCCATAAAAGGGAAAAACAAGGACATTTAAATTCAAATCAATCTATTGGTAATGCATATTTTTGAGAAAATGATGATTTTAAATCTTCATCTAAATCAGATCTTGCTTGAAAAAAAGTGCAACCTTGAAAAAAAAAACGCAAAAAAGAAATGGGATACACACCTCTTCTTTAACCTGAAATGACTGTAACTTCGAGCGCAGTGCTGATTTTACATTAGGAGGCAGCCCTTGATATAGAGCATCCCGAGTATTGGGAGGCACAGAACCTGATCGAGACACCTGATTAAATTAAAACGTCAACACTTACGGCTACCTTCTCAAATGTTTTGCTATTTATATTTCAGATACAATAACAGTGCAATTGTGACTACCATTATTCTTTGAAAATAGAAAGAAAACAGATTCTCTTTTTACAACTGACCATTTTACTAGAGTGAAAATAAAATCAGTTATGAAAAATATTAGATGCAAAAATTGTCAAGATACAATATGATAATGATAGAGATTACTATAAGATATTTTATAATGAACTTTTTACAGCTACACTAACATACTCTAATATATAAAGATATTGAGATTACTATAAGATATTTTATAATATTCTAACAAATATAACCGAATATATAGCTTAAGTAAAATCTTAAACTAACCAGAGTATCAATTTGAGTGATAATGTTTGCATAATGCAAAGCAAGACCAGAAGCCCCCAACTTCTTATGGTTGCCTTGAGAATCTTTCACTTGCTTATCCATATCTGTGAGGTTAAACAGGAAAACAAGTATAAAAGACACATTCTGTTTAATGCGGCATCCAAACAATAAAGAGAAAGGAACCACAACTAAACCGTGGGACTAAAGTACAAAAAGGGCAGCAAAAGGCTAACTTATCATAAAGTTCATTTGCATAAAACAAATACAGGGATAATTATTAAAAAAACTATGAGATGGATATCTAATATCCCGATAAAGTAATTGACCTATGTAGTTAGAAGTTAGAACAATATACCAATGTTGTTGCCTGTTGCTGAATACTATATCCAGAATCTTATGCCATAGTGATAGAAAGGTTTCTCATTCATCAATAAATAGTATAATCTTGCTATAAACTTAATCCAATTTTTTTGTGTTAGGATAATAAAGGGAAGCAAAAGTAGTTTAGTTAGGTTAGTTAATTAGTTAGAAGGGAGGGGACACCCTTGGGGAGAATTCTATTCTCTATTTTCATTTAGTTCTCAATAACACATTCAGTTGTTTTTATTCTTTTTATCTTTCTACCATTTCAACTCATTGGGTTCCTAACAAATTGACATTTTATACAAAATATAACTTGATATCTAACCAATATCTCATCATCAATACTGGGGGAACAAAAATTGTTAAAATTGTTACTCAAATAGTTACTCAGTTGGAAACTGTGACGAGAGGGAAGGGAAGGGATTACAGGGAAGCTATCTTGTTATTTGAGAGAGATTTCGGGCATTCGCGATATTGAGGAACATATGTTCAAAGTTCTTCAGAGGAGACTTTGCTATTAGCTCTAATAAAATACCAGGTTTTATAAAAATAAAAATAAATAAATAAAGCCAACCACTAATCATAATCAAGAAATCTCGCAATTCTGTAATGCATACCGACACTACCAAATGCTTCGTTTATCTCCAAATATAGAAAATGGACGATATCTACAAGCTTTTCCATCACCTGAAAATAAAATAATCAGACTTTATGTCTGTGTGATAATAAAATTGCTTATGAAAAAGAGGCTGAAAATAACTGAAAAAAATGTTATTCAAATTAAAATAACACAAAAAAAAAACATTAAACATAATCAAAAAGAATTCAGGACAACACTTTCCGGATACCAATTACACACAGTACTCAGCCGAGACCAGAATCTAATCATATATTTCTAATAGTGCATTGAACTTTTTGAATATTCATAAAAATTAAAAAAAAAAACTAATGTCTTCTTACCTCTTCCAAAATCTTGGACCACAGTGATTTTTTCTTCAAATTTCTTACATGCTTCTTTTGACTCTTCAGTTCTGCTTTTAAAATTGCAAGGCTGTCTCCTACATATTTTACATTTTACAAATATAAATCACCTAAAGAACACTCAGGGTAGTAAAATAGACTAACACTAACATATTCATTACTTATTTAAAATTGTAAATGGTTAGTCAGATATTTGAACATCTGAAAAAAAAAATAATGTTCCAGAGATAGGAGTTATACAGCATAGTGAACTTATAAATGTAAATAACTAATGGAATTCAGAGAGTTGAGATAAACTGAAATGTATTATTTCTGTCAAATGATGAAAATGAATTGTTACTTTACAAAAGGTGGCTACTATCTATCACAGTAGAAGCTGTCATAACCGAATCTGAGATCTCACTGAATGCAGTTCAGCTAGTTACTGTTTACACAACTCTCATGGGAAATAATAAGGTGCGCAGTAAAGTAAAATACAGCTGAGTAGTAGTAGTCCAATAATAGCAAATTGATGAATATGAAAGTCCAACTACATATTGCATTCCAAATTGCTTCCCACTTTGAAAAGAAATATATTATACAAAATAGAAGGAAATATTTTCCTGCTAGTTCTTAACAAATGCTTGATCTTCTAAGATTCTATCTCTCTATTCCAAAAAAAGAGGATCAAGTTGTACAAAACTTAGAGGTTGTGTGCAGTTTTGACAGTTCTCCGAAGTTTTTAGCGAGACTATAATGCTTGTATTTTCCTAAGCTCTTAGTTGTCCTTACCACTGTTACGAAAGAACTAGTTTTTGAGATTTTCTCATGGAGATGTTCTCGTTACTTTTTGAGGAGAAACTACCTCTTAGATGGGAACAGGGATTCGATAGTTTAATGTATTGATGAGATTATTTGTTTTCGTTGTTCTTTTCATAGTTCAGAACACCTGCAAACTTAATGGATCCATGCACACTAATGTCACAAAATAAACATAAATAGGATATTGATTCTGAACAGAGTAATTATATTCAAATACACAATTCAAGAACCCGAGATTGGTCAATATTTACCTCTCTGTGTGGCATTTGAACTGTCTTCTTCTTGAAGCTTGCGTCGATAATCTTGATCAAACCTGTCTAAAGCGTGCAATTCATGATATAATTCCTGCACTCCAAGAAAAAGTTAACTTCAGGACTAGTTTTAATGAAATCAGTGGTGCTGCTTATAGAAATAAGAACCCACAGTTTGTAGTAGTTTATGATGTTAAAATATGCATATAAATGAAGATAGACAAGATATAGAATAAAATTCAGTGCACAACTTTGAGGAAGAAAACAAGGATATGCGGAGTTCCTTATAACATGTTTACTCACGGCAGTATATTGAACAAAGGTCATTAATTGTTGCATCACAATCTCTGCCTCCTCTTTCAATTGCCTTTGTGGTGAAAGCTCTGAACCTAACCTAAAAATGAACAAAGCAAACCATAACTAACACATTATTAAATGTTAAAAGGAAAAACATACAGTAAATTTAAATCAATTCAACTACAATTACTTCTCGAAATAGCGTTCCAGGTTGTGCCACTGAGGATCTTTGCATCGATTTCCAAAACGCACAACTTCGCCTGAAAATATTTTCAATTCTTCTCTGCCAAAATTGTATAAGTTAGTGAAAGTGCAGATAGTAACTGATGTGGATTGAGGTCCACATCAGTAACTGAAGAAAATAAGCCACAAACTAAAGTAAAATCTTTTAAGTTAATGACAAACATTTACGGTTAATTTACCTCTTGTCTGCAGCAGCAATTCTCAGGAGTTCATTCATATCTTTAGATACTAAATTTTGCACTCCATCAGATGGTAGAACGACCTCTTTTAAATGTTTAATGCTCTCTTTTGAAAGAGATTGCATTAGATTGGCACCCTTAACTATTGTGTTTGCAACTTCAAAGGCCAAAATTGAAATTTTATTCCCTTTTGTTGTAACTCCCGATGTAAAACCACTACTGAGATTCAAATTTGTCATACTACTACCTAGTGTGTCCAAAACATCTACGGCCTTGCCAAGTCCGGCTGTACCAGCTCTGCCCAAGAGGGAACTTACTTCTGATACCTGTAATACATCAAAAGAGAAGATGAAAAGGAAATCTGTTTGTTACATAGGACGCCTTAAAAATAGACCTGAAAATGGGGAATGATCTAACCCGCGACACTAAACACTCTTTATCTTTAAAACATACATTCAGTACCAGGTGAAGCATTAGCACATTAGCAAAAGGGCATTTAATCAATATAACTATGAACACAACAAACATAGATCTTTAAGTGCAAACTCAACTCTTTTTGACTGTAGGATTGTTTCTATGTCATAAAAGCTTAGACCAACACTTATTCGGAGAACTAGCCGCACTATGTTTATATTTTACTAGAATAGTCACAAAGTTGAAAGATAAGATATCCACCAAGTTTGCAAAAGTCTAACTTAAAAGCCTCCAAAATAAGCTATTAAGACGAAAACATAAATCTGTATCAAATGAATTTTGATGAGGGTGATTGCGGTCTAAAAACACTACCAGGACATTCTAACCATAAACAATAAACACCTGCAAAAATATGATGTACTCATTTACATTATTTCCATTAAATAATATCATAGCTCGAATAGATACCATTACCTTACATAGAGGATCTTTTATAAAAAATTATTAAAACCATGTTCTAATAAGCTTCCTAATGATCTTTCAGTCCTGTTATTGTCTGACTCTTATCAGATCTTGTTAGTCAAACCTGATCTAACCACATCAAGGCGCCTAGAGATTAGTGTTGTTTCATACACCCGCTGGTCACTATAATAAGCAACAAAAAAAATTTAGGTTCATTGAATAATTGATGTATCTGATACATAATAATGACCAGATACATCATTATTCAATGAATCTAAAAAGTGTTTTTTTGCTTATAATACTGACCAAAGATACAAGGGTTTTCAAGTTAAGTCTATCGGATTTAGATAGTGGCACTTAATGTTGTGGCAGCATGCAGATTTTGCAGTTCTTTAATGTGTTTTAAGTGACAAAAAGCATCAAGAGCTTCCACCTAATAGGTCTAGCTTTTAGAGAGTTGGTCCAAGATATTGTATCAGAACCTTTAAAAGCGAGTAGTTAGGAGTTTGATCTTAGATGTTCTGGTTCTTCTAGATAAAGTTGAATTGACGAGTTAGACAAATCCTAAGCTACCACCTAATAGCATACGCTTTTGGGAGACTTGAACTTCAATAGAATGAAGTGCATAGAATCTATGGATGCATCATTGCAATGAAGCTTGCTTTGAGATTTTGTTTATGGCTTCACCCAAGTTATCTAATCATTGCTTTGTCGATAGTTTCCTTTTGAATAATAATATACATACAATTTCTTGCATCATAGATTCATCCTTTTCCAGGTGATATCTTATCATCCCCCCAGTTGTACTTTCCCGCTTTATCACTTTGTTTAAACTACTATATCGAAAACATTACTTAGTTTTTACTGCAAAACATCTTTTCGGCCAGTCATCTACCAACACATTTTGATCATCCATATCCAAACACACAAGAAACAGAAAGATCAAACACGAGAATAGTAACATACCTTAACAGTTTTTCTAGACTTATGCGATAACGTCCGAGGCAGTCTAGGAATCCCATCATTGACATCTTCCATACCCGGCCCATACGGAACCTTCTCCAATCCACTAAAAGAAAACGACTCTCGTTGATGCTTATCAAACTCATCAGCAAGAGGAAGCAAAGTCGAATTACTATTTATATTCGCAGAAACCGATTGATACGCCATTCCATTTCCACCTTCATTGTCATTATTAGCATGACCATTAGCAGAATGTCTCGAACTTTCACCCGGTACATTATCTACAGCTACACCATCTACAGTAGCTTTCCATGATCTTGAACAAATGCCACCCATACTAAACTGTGTACAGAATTTCGATACAATAGAAAAACCTCGAAATCATTCAATTGACAGGAATGTTATGATGAATGCTCAAATTTTGATTATACCAATTCTGATCACCTTTACAGCTCCAGTCCATCAACTCTAACCAACTCACCAAATCTGAATTTTAAAAAATATATATATAGAAAATTAAAAAAGTATCAACAAATCCTGAAAGAAAAAAAAAAACCTAAAGAAATTAAATAAAGACTTAATTAAGAAGATCCAATGAAAATTAGTCAAATAATTTGATTAAAGAGAGTATGTTTAATAAAAAGAAAGAGAATGGAAGTAAAGTTAGATTATGGTACCAGTAGCAGAGATCTATGAGGAGGTGCATTAGTGAAAGAGAAATGAAAAAGGGGGGTGTGAATAAAAAAAGGGTGGTGAATGGCGGAGAAAGTGAGAAAGGGATCGATGAGGAAATTGCAGAGAGTGAATGCAGGGTCCCGGAAGGGGAAGAGGAAGAGAAGTTAGACGCAAACGCAAACGCAAAAGCAAAAGCTAGAAGCAGAATCTAGTTTGTTTCTCTCTCTTTTGTTATTATGGTCAAAATATTACAGACTCAGAGCTGAAACGCCCCCACTGAGTACTCACTCACTCACTCTCCAATCAACGTTGTTTTGACTTTTGACTGTGGTAAAAAGGATCGATTCATGAAATTTTGCATTTGCTTTTGTAACTTTTCTCTTGGAATGACAAGAATCTCCTTTGTAATAATGAAACATTTTTATGTTGGAGTAGGTAAAACTTTTTACTATTATTTTTTAATAATTAGGAAGTTATTATTTCGTTCTTCAAATTTTGTAATATGGTGAAAAGTTCCATGATATTTAATGTGTTAAAAAAATTATTGATATATAAATATTTAATAATTTGTTTATATAAATATAAATAAATGTCATTGCCAAAAATCAAATCCTAAAAAATTTAAATATATAATTAAAATAATTTACTATCCATCTTATTTACATATCACATTTTTTTAAAAATTATTATTATTATTTGTCATATTTTTAAATTCAATTCATTACTAATTATAAATTTATCAATAATTTTTTATTGTAGAGAGAAATAGATAAAATTAAATAATACTTAATTCTTATAATAAATTCTAAAAATGAATGTCCTTCTCATATTTAATATAAATAGTTACATTTTCATTTGTGTCATTTAATTATGTACACATCTCCAAACATATTAATAAGATTAATTTAATAAAAATATAATTTTTTAATAATGTTATTATGTTTTTAATTTTTGTAAAAAAAAAAAACTTAAACAATACTCATTAACAGATAGAATATTAAATGATAAAAAAAATACTAAATTTAACAAAATGTATCTTGGTATTTATAAAAATGAAAATAAAAAGTCTAAAAACTATATGCAAAAAAAGGAAGGAATGAGTAATATTTAATGTGTTTGAGTGCATTTCATCATTAAATTAATAAACAAATATCAATCCAGTTATATTTTGGTAATTTATAGGGGTCCATTTTGGAAAAGATAAATAATAAAAGGTATTCATCCAATTTGAGTAGTGTTTACCATTTTATTTTTCTTCATAAAATTAAATGCTATAAAATTTCTTAAAATACTACTACAGTCTTAACTTCTTTTTTTCCTTTCTTTTATTAGCAATCTTGTAATTTTACTTGCAGTTCTTCTCAATTTTCTAACAATTCATTTCTCTTAGTTGTTTTGCTTAAAGAATGCATCACTTAATGACTTTTATCTTTTGAATTTTTGACATACCAGAAGGGCATTTATGTCATGATAACCCAGCATTTTTTTCAAGGTATACACTGCATCCAATGACATCAACAACTCCACTTGTTTTTGGCACAAAGCAATTTAAAGTTTATAGAAAATGCAATTCATTGATTTCATACTGAATAAAAATCACACATCTCAGCAGTAGTAACTCTTGGGAAGTGCTAACAAGATTTTCTCCATTTTCCGTACACGTCCAAACAAGCAAATTTGGATATATTCATGACAGGATGAGCACAAAAAAGCAGCTCAGTTGTGAAATGCACGTCACGTTTTATCTTTCAACTTACTCAAACACTTATATGGAACTTTTTTAGGAGAAAACGTTGTGAAACTTGAAGGAAACTTCTTGCAGTCTGATGTGGAAAGAAAACAAAAAATAGAGAAAACTATTTCTCAATATTATTATTAGTATTATTATTCTATTGATATTAGTTCTCAATTATTTACCTTAACAAGAACATGGAGCAGTATCTCCCTAATCTATCCCACATGTGAAGTTGACCTTGTTAGGGAGTACTAGCTAGTCCCAAATGTCATTCAGATGTAGTCTGCACTTACATATGTAAATTTTCTTCTGCATCCATTCTTTTGTCCATATCTAGTTTGGATATTGACAAGAAAGAACTACTGCTAGTATTCACGTGAGCAAGTCCGGTTAAAAACTAGCGAGTATAGTTAACACTCATATAGGTAGTTTCCTAACTTGGCACCTAGTCTACATGTCAAATAATGATTCAGTGGCTAATCAAGACCTACAGTTTTAGGGCCAGTGTCAACCTGCAAGAATCACAAGATGGCACTTGACCACAATAAATAACATGATGACAATTGACAACAGACTATAGTTTTTTAAAGGGCCATTAGTGTCTTTCAGTTCACCAATAGAATTGTAGAAATATAATGAAAAGGATGCCGATACTTGTTAGCTTTCACCTGACTACAAATATACATGAATGCTTGAGAAAAAAGTGAGTTCAATGAAAATCATAAAATCTCCAGAATGCTAATGCTTCAGAGTCAGCCGCTGGGAAACATAAGCATAGTAGGACCCAAGTGGAAAATCGAAGAATAGAAAGTTGGCTTCGGAGTGAGGCAATCAGATTAACATTCTTTGGTCTACCACTGAATTTAAATCAAGACAAAGATTCATCAAGTTAATGAAAGAGCAGTTTTAATAATGATATAATAGGGAACAGAAGTAAAGGACGTACCCTTCTACTCTCATTACTGTTGAGATACAAGGTCTTCTAGTTCATCTATGATAGCTTCATAGCAAAAAATGTACTGATCCTGATATTTTGCAGAAAGAGACACCAAAAAGTTTGATCACTATAATGGTTGCAGAAATAAATTAATAATAACAAAAACAAAAATAATTTTGGTGAACACAACAAATAGGGGTACAGGGAATGAACGTGGCTCCTACTGAGATCGTTTCCAAGTGGCTGCTGGTAAACTGAGGCATCCTAACCAAAAGGCAGGCTGGCTAGAACGTGACCTTGTGATACAGTATGGAGAAACTAATTTATGGATTATTTTGTTACTTTTTACTATTAGAAATGTAATTTCAGCCTTAGTAACTTCAAGATAGACAAGGAAACATTAATAGATACGATGTGTCCTCTAAGATGAACATGGGGTTGTGCTCAACATAACGTTCATGCAAAATAGCATGGCTTGCCATTGTTTTTGCTGAAATGACTGTGCTCACCTTTAAGACGGCATTGCCTAATGCACACTCATGCAATTCAGCACATTTCAGTGTTACTTTCTGACAACACCATGCCCATTTTGAGGACGCCGGGAAAATGCACAACATGATCGTGCTATGTAAGAAACACAGACGAGTTAAATGCTAGACACTTATTTTCGCAAGGACTCATCTCCCTTCTTATAGATACCTTTATTTGAGGGCTCAACGAAAAACTTTCTAATCTTTTGCAGACATTCACTATCTTCTCATCATTATATTGAATCGTTTCTAAGGATTTCCAAGCAGTTACACGCTAGAGTTTGATTCCTTTATTTGCACGTAGAGTTTGTTCCTGCCTAAAACAGAGTTCTTGGAATCTGTTATTTTTCCCCTAGAAATTATGGATTCTTTGTAGGTTTTATAAGCCGACTCCACTTAGTGGGATAAGACTTAGTCGTTGTTGTTGTTGTTCTGGGTTTCTTTTCTATTATGGGGGATTAAACAGTTAAGACTATGATTGATCTTAATTATGTCCGGACTTTTGATCTTTTTCTAAATTGAATGTAACTCTAGACTTCTTTCGTTCAATCTGGATATATCTTATCCATTCTTTAAATAAGGATTGCCCACCATTAGCATAGCTAATTAGTTGAACCAGCAATTATACCACAAATAATTTAACAGATCTATAGTGATTGGACTTGGATTGAAGAACCAAACCGCAACCCATGTTCCAGTAGTTTGACAAACCTGCTAATTCACCATCCATTCCTTATATAACTGTCCTACACACTCATTGGGGGTTCTATGATTAAGGAAAAGAGTATTACTACTGTACTATCATAGATATTAATAGTATTAGAGTGGGTGAGAGCTGAGCACGATAGGATAGGAACACAAGTTATAAGAGAGATTAAGAATATATCTTAGATACTAGCATAGGTGAAGTAAGGTATCAGGGTTATTCATATTTAAATTATTGCTTGTCATTTCTTAGATCCTAGTGTTTTCTTTACTTTCTTTCTTTCCCTACTTTTTTACTTTCCTTAAGCACAGTAACATATCTTGGTTTAAAAACTTCTTCCCTTAACATTGATTTTTCATCCAAAAGGGCTAAGGAAGGGATATATGTCTATTAAATATTTACACGATGACAATTCAAAACATGTCCGTAATTTCTGAAACAAAAAGTCATTGGAAATTAATTTCTTGAGCTTATTACCCTTCTTTCTACTAAGTTGTATCCTATCTTTATAAGGATGCTTATGGTTGGGAAAGTCTCTTCGAATCTTTTCTTTTGCCTTAATTTCCTTCTTCCTCTAATAAGAAAACTAGTAGTGGGAGCATTCTTTCACAGAAAAAACAATTATTAGTAGTAAGAGTGTCCCTTCCGAGAAAGTGATTGATAGGATTACAACTGAAAAACAGGATACTTTCAGCTTTAATTTGTAATTGGATCCTGGCTAAACTATCTAACCTAGTTCCTTGCAACAATCTACATTATTTTCCATCAAACAGGTTAGGGTACCTACTACCTTACCATTCTTCTTAGATTTCAAAACCTCTTGCTTTCTGATTTAGTTTAGAAATGGAACTTAACTAATATGTGGTCCAACTATATTCCTGGCAACTCATGTAAAACCAATACGTTCATTAATAACAATTCTAAATTAAATTAGAAAATCTGACTACCTGTGTCTGAACCATTCCAATACGCTGAGATCTGAACACAGATACTGTATTGGCAATGTCTATAGCAGACATATCACCAGCAAGTATCCTCTGAATTGTGTTATGAATTGTGCAGTATGTTCCAGTTCTACCAATACCTGCACTGAGCAAGAGAATTTGTCTCAGGAAAATATGCATGTTACTCATTGTCATCATTGCCATAAAATAAAATGTGTAAACAAAAGAAGGAATCAGATGAACCTGCAGTGCACCACTATTGGGCCTAGATTTGGTGGCAAATGGTATAATCTTTTCAAAATTTCACGCGCAGCCAAAGTATTGTTCGGCACTCCATGGTCGGGCCACTCAGGATACTGAATATGAAAAACGGATAACGGTGTATCTTCTACCTGCAACAATATCAATCAAGATTAATGTGAACCACAATGTTTAGATCTTGATGGTGGAGAGAAACTTTGTGCCCCTTCCAAAATCAAAATTCATATGATTTTCTATCTTTCAGTAAAAAGTAAAAGTATGAAATGAAAATTTTTAAGGATGACATTTAATGATGCAATTGGCCTTATCAAGGTTGCCTTACGCTATGGAACAAAAAAGCACAATAACTGGTCGCAGCCAACTTCGCCAACCAATGTATAGCTCTTTTATAATTAGAAATCATTGATTCGGACAGATTCATCTCATTCAAAATGATAGAAACCGTCTTTCTAAAAATATTTAATTAAATAATTTTTGACCAAAAATGTTTTTGTTGACTTCCAAAAACAAGAGTAACAGCCAACTTCTGAACTTCAAATATAAACTAGAACTGGAACCATCACTCCCCTGGAGTAACATGAGCACAGCCCATCATTCTATTAAACTTGAATCCTTTAAGTTGGAGTAGCCATTAAGCTTTTGATGTTACAGAAATGTTGTTAAGAGAAATTTTATTAAGGATATCATTCAGGTTCAGCATTGAAATGCAGGGGACGTAAGAAAAGTTCGGATATCCAGTGCCCTAGAGTTGGTTCAGCAGTACTATAGCAAACGAAGTATAAACAAAGGCCTGAAGAATTAGCTGAAGTTTTGAAAAAAGAGCGCCAAATCAACCGTCTCTCCGTCAGAAAAAATATCACTTGTATGTAAAGAGAAAGATATAATCTAATCAGAAGAAAAAATTATAAGCTGAAAATCATCCCACCTCTTTTCGGTTCACTTCCAAATGTCGCAGCACAAGTGAAGTTTTAGTAGTTTTCGTCCATTTACATGTAAGAGAGATATTCCCGAATTCTCTAGGTCTATCTTCAGATTGAAAATAATCTCCACACTTCACCGTCTATAAAATTAAAAAGAGCAGTACAAAATATTGATAAAATATGAAGTAAAAAAAACAATCTCAAAGAGAAAGGAAACAAGTTGGAATCACCTTGTAATTGTCGACCAACCCAGTAAGCATCACAATTGCAGGGCAGTGATATTGTATCATCATTTCCCAAAAATCCTCAAAAGTGTGTGGCAGTGGACCTTGTGTGGCTATAAACTCGGACACAGTTCCAGGGGAAGAGGTCTACAATAAAAAAAAAATTAAATTTACAGTTCCCACTTCAAATAACCATAAGAATCTAATTAGCTTTTAACATAATTATCAAACAAAGACAAGAATGTATATATACCGAGATAAAGCTTGCATTGATATACCCCAGTGCTTCAGGCCTATAATCTGAACTGGAATTAAGAACAACCCTGTTCTTGTCAACTGAAACAAAGAATCGTCAAAATTTAATTTTCCCCAAATACATACATACAATACAAAGGATGTGTTTCAATTGGCTTATTTGAGTTTATCAAAAGACACAAGTATTTGTTAGACTATTTGAAGAAACTAATGGAAACAACTTATGTCATTTATGTAGATTATGACATGGAGAAAATAGAATATGAGTGTAAATTAATTTTACACTGTCAACCAATGACAATCCTGTATTCCGTCAAATCAAATGGAAATTTTCAAATTAGTGGTATGACATAGTTGATTGATGAATTCTTATTGGATGACGGGGGGCAAAACTATTTTACAATGTCAGGGCTGGTGCATGTCCATTAAACTCTTACAACATGTATATAAGGTATTTTCAGCTTATTTCAATATGCACTCCATAAACAAATTTAATTTTCTCCAAATTCATACTTCCTCCATTCTCTTTTATAAGCAAAATTTGATTTTTAAGTTCATTGAATAATTGGTGTATCCGGTCTATATATAATCTAAATACATCATTTATTGAATGAACTTAAAAGTCAAAATTTATTTATAAAAGAGAACGGAGGGAGTACATACAATTCAAAGGGCGTGTTTCGAGTGGCTTATTTGAGCTTACCTAAAGACGTCAGTATTTGTTACAGTTTGAAGACGAATGGAAACGGAAACAACTTATGTCATTTTATGTAGATTATGCCATGTACATAAGGTATTTTCAACTTATTTCAATATGCTCGCCATAAGTTGCCCATAACTCTCCAGGATAGTTTGTGGAAACTGTTGTTATAAACTTATATGAAAACAATTTGACTTTATAGAATAGTTTAAGCACTTAAGCTATAAGGATAAGTGCTTAATTAAGATGCTTATACTAATAATAACCTTGAAATGAATGCATGTGATATTAATAAGTGGTGAAATTACATGGTATAACATCTCTGTATCGATTTTTGCTGAGATTAGCAGAATTAAGAGCAACGTTGCATCTTCTCGTCGTCTCACTCAGCGTTATCCTATTCGACTGAAATCACAACACAAGAGAGTATGATATTTTAACGTTTCGATATGAAAATGAAGAAATCAATAGGGATTGGCGTGAACCTGCAAGTGAATGAACTCTTGGGAGATGGTGTTAGGGTTGAGGAGTTTGTTCTTCAACATAGAGAGTGCTTGGGTGCAGTGTTTGATCTGATCGGAAGTAAGGGGAATTCGGGAAGGGAAATCAGGAGAGAAAGTTGAATTGTTGCGAGACGATGTGGCGGAGGGAGGTGCGGAACTGCCAGCCATGACGGATCTCCGGCGAGGACGAGAGCGGGTAGAGACGAGGTTCCCCAGTTCAACCGTAGAGTGGGGTTCGAATAATTTTGGATTTTCAGTTCTCACTCACTTTCCCGTTCCTTGTAATAGTGCGTACCTTTTTGGGTTAAAGCTTTAGCTTTTCCCATTGGGAATCACATGCTTTTCATATTCAATTATTTTCAGTTTAGATGCCTTAATTTTTATTTTGTTTTTGATGAGAAGATGCCTTAATTTTATAAAAATAATAGAATTTAATTAAATTTTGTCTGTGTAAAGAGATTTTATACGATCAGTCAATCATAGTTATTAGATGTTGAAAAAAATTTGACTTTTATTTTAATCACTTATAAAATAAAACAAACGGATAACAGTGATGAATAGACAATTTTACTGCAACAATATATATAATAATTAATCTCAAAATAATAAATTGCATTATTTAAATTAGGAGAGACTTACTCATGCAATGTGATTATGGGAAGAACCACTTCAAACAATATTTACAATAATTTTTATTTTATTTCTACAATTTTAAACTAAAAACAAGTCATAGTGAATTTAGAAGGGTGTTGAGCAAATGATTTCAAACATAAAAGAAATATTGAATTGTGTTATATGATTTTTAAAAGAATTATAAAATGATTGATTTTATCTTAGTTAATTTTAAGAAGATAAATAAAATAGAGATATAAGCGCGAAAGAAAAAATATAATAAATAAAATAGAAAGTAAGAAAAATGCACATCGAAATTGTTGTAATATGTGTTAAAACGTCAAGTGATAGAAAAAAAAATATTTTAGTGCTTGAAGATGTGAAAAGCAAGATGTATATCTTTAAGTATACATGTAAAAGTCGTGTTTGGTGGTATTTGATGATTCTGAAGTTTGTGATTCAAGTATGTTCGTTAATGGTGTATTTCAAAAGACGTGATTAAAGTATTATTTTGAGGATGCTTCTTAATATTTATGATGATCTATGATGATTTAAACTATTAGTAAGTTGCAGTGATAAGTTTGTAATGGATTTATTAACCTCGTGATTTAAACCATCTCTCGTATCAAATGATTCGCAGAGAAAGATTTACCACAATGTTGTGTCCTTCTTGAAATAGGGAGTCTTTCTCAAGGATATTTAGGATGTAAGGTGGTACACTTTTGTGAGTGTGAGTGCATTCTACAACCTAGCCATGTTTTGAATGATATCAAAACTAGGAGTGTGACTTAAAGTTTTTGTATATTAGGTGGTATCAAACAAAGTTTAGATGTGCATTGAATCATTTTAGTCTTAGGATGCATACAGATGGTTTTGAAAATGATTGGAAATGTCTATGCATGTTTCATACATCAAAAAAACTATACTTTATGTGTAAACTCTCTTGCACGGGCCGACACATACAATTTTAGGTTGACCTATAGAATCATACATGCACCTTTTTTAGCAAGGTACTAGTGAATTACCTATACAAAACCACAAAGCCTAATCGATTATGGCTTGAATCCTTTTCAAATTTCAAGCTAAATCAGATTGTATCTTCCCCTTAAAGTTAATCAAATCAGAGCATTAATGAGGAACATATGAAATATTTAGATTTAGCATCAAATAATTGATTATACCATCAAAGTAATTGATTGTCATATATAATATTGGAGTTTTTACATGCCCATGCATTCAGAAGCAACATTATATATAGGTACTTTTATTCCCTTATTTTGCATCTCTCTCTCTCTCTCTCTCTCTCTCTCTCTCTCTCTCTCTCTCTCTCTCTATATATATATATATATATATATATATATATATATATATATATATATATATATATATATATATATATATATCCGTGTGTGTGTGTGTGTGTGTTGTGTGTGTTGTTTTATGTGAGTATTCGCTTATTGTTACTACTATCATATCGTTATGGATCGATTAAAGAGTATGTCTGCTCGAAATTCATCGTCAATTTAGTCTCCCTTGAAAGGACCTTCTTAAGAGAATCCAAAAGATTTATCCAACCGAAAGGTAATTTGACCAACCTATATAGAACCAACGTTCTTGAGAGAATACCGACCCTGTGAGAATCTTAGTAGAGGATTACTCTGAAAATTCTTTATAAAGATCTTTTATTGAATGTTTACAAGGCTTGTTATAAAGTTATACTAAAATATCCAAATTGAAGGTATGACTCTTACAACTCGAGTAAAAAGGGTTGAAGTTAGCATCGACACAAGAGAGTTTGGAGAACTATTTGAGCTACACTTATGTGGAGTGTCCTACAACTATGGTTGACCTTCAAATTCAATAGGTTCATTCTAAATACTGATGTAGTAGGGTTTATGGAAGATCCACTGGGGAAAATAAACTTCATTATAAAACAAAAATCTTGAAGGTTAAGTGTAAAGTTGCACACTATATGCTTGCTATAATCATTTTTACCATACAAGGAAATCTTGAGGTTCTAGTAAAAGAAGATGGAGTCCCCCATGTTTGAAATCTTCAATCTCCTTTTTGCAACTTCCTGTTATCAACAAGTCATCGACACAGAGACATAGTATAAGCAGTTTACTATTTTTTTCTTCTTACATATACTTCATGCTTATTTGTGCACTTCACAAATTCCTTCTCCCTTAGAAAGCTATTTATCTTCTTATTCCAAGCTCTCGGAGCTTGCTTAAGTCTATACAGGGCTTTATGCAGCCTGTATACCTTGTTTTCTTTGCCTTGTTTCATAAACCCAACTGGTTGTGCAACATAAACTTCTTCATCTAAGGAGCCATTTAGGAATGCACATTTTACATCCATCTGACACGTGTGCCAATTGTTTATGTTTTCTAAACCAACAACCAACCTAATTGTTTCGATCCTAGAAACAGGTGTAAAAACTTTATTGAAGTCAATTCCTTTTTTCTGAAGAAGTCCTTTTGCCACAAGACTTGCCTTGTGTCGAGTTACTTCTCCTTTGGGATTCAACTTCACCTTGTATACCAACTACACATTGATTTCCTTCTTGTGTTGAGGCAATTCGACAAGTAACCAAGTGTTATTGACTTTGATGAACTTCAGTTCCTCATTCATTACTTTCACCCACTTTGAATCCTTCAATGCCTCAGCTGCATTGATTGGTTCGACATCTGCATAGAAAGCATAGTGTACCATCTCATTTTCATCATTGACCACATCATCTAATGTAATCACACATTTTTACAACCTTGAAGGCATGTGTTTTATTCTTTGAGGTCTGCTTGTGCTTGCTTGACCTATGACTTCTTCCTGTCAAACTTCTCTTCTGATTTCACTTGTTGGTTCGTCACATAAGATTCTAATTGAATCTTTCTTGACATTTTCACTCCAATCTCATTCCTTAATCTCATCTATGATCATGTTCCTGCTGATCACTACTTTCTTGAACACTAGGTCGAACAACTTGTATCCTTAAGTCAAATGATATCCTATTAGGATCATTTGACTCAACTTGTCATATAACTTTCTTCTCAATTGATCATGCACATGTCTATGTGTTATAGATCTAAATACCTTCATATGGCTCAAGCTAGGCTTGACACCAAATCAACATTCTTCTAGCGTAATCCCTTCTAGCCTTTTCGTTGGACATCTTTTCAAAATATATGTTGCACTCGACATAGATTATCCCCATAATTCTTTGGGTTGATGTTTGCCTTTCAACATACTTCTAACCATATTCATGATGGTTTTATTCTTCCTTTCTACAATTGCATTCTGCTGTGGAGTATAGGGTGGCACTGCCTCATGCACAACTTATTGAAGTCTTTCGACACATATTCTTCACCACCATGAGTCCTCAAAAATGTGAGCTTTCGACCACTTTGTCTTTCGACCATAAATTTAAACTTGGCAAATACATCGATCATTTCACTTTTCTTCTTGATCAGGTAAGTCTATAGTTTTTTTTACTGAAATCATTTATGAATGTGACAAAGTATTTGTTACCTCCAATCGAATCCACTTGGATAAGTCCACACACATTAGAGTATATGATTTCTAGAGCTGCCTTTGACTTGCTTCCTGCATCCTTGCTGAAGTTGTTCTTGTGTTGATTCGCCTGCATACATTCTTCACAAACTTCGCTTAGAATGTCAATTTTCTGGTAACCCTAAACCATATTTCTTATCTTAAGATCTCTGATTTCTTTAAAGTTGAGATGACTAAGTCTGTAGTGCCATATCCATTCATCCATGCTAGTTGCAGTGGCAGGGCACTTGTGCTCCATCATATTAAGTTAAATCCTGAAGGTTCTATTTTGAGACATGATAGCCTTCAAGATTAACCTTCATTTTAAGTTGATAACTCTCATCATCTTGTATTTGATCGACACCTAATAGTTCTTTTCAACCAACTACCCTAAGAGGTGGAATAGAATAACGTAACGCGGTTCTTTCTAAGAGAACACACTTCTTTATAAGAGGTGGAATAGAATAACGTAACACGGTATAATGAGAAAGTTACTCTTCATGCCTTGTATGTACAATACATTAGAAATTTCCGACCTCTTGCCATCTTTCCTCATAATCAGAACATCACCAATACCTTCAACTGCTAGAGTATTATCATTTGCAAATTTTACCATGTTCTTCATTGAGGGTTTTATGTTGACAAACTAATCCTTCCTACCAGTCATGTGTGATGAACATCTTGAGTCCAAGTACCATTGGTCCTGGAATCTTTCTTCTTCTCTTGTTGTGACCATCATCAACATATCTTCTTATTCATGCTTTGCTAGTTTTGCATCATCATCTTGGCTCTTTTGCTTTTCAATACAAACACTAGAGTAGTTACCATACTTCTGACAACTGAAACACTGAATGTGACTTTTGTTCGATTTTTTACCACCACCTCTTCCTTTACCTGCTGCACCACCTTTTTGGTTGCTTTGGTATGAGGACTTTCTCTGATTTGACCAGCCTCCTTCTTGCTAATTTCCACCAGTCAAATTGTTGTAACCTCCCCTACCTTTATTG